CATTAAATATATTGTTATAAATGTGATTACCGTTTACAGGATTATCGGCGAGAGATTTTATACTACAATTTCGTCACAAAGTTCTCCTATTGTTTAAATTGTTATTGCTAGAAAAAAAAGTAGTCTTCTACCAATCTCCTGTTCAACCACTGTGTTCTGCCATATTAACTTTATTATCACTGTATCCTGGAATGATAGAGCATGGTTTACAACAGGCAGCTTGTGTCAGGTAGTGTATGATTATATTATTTAAGTATTTAAAATTATTATTAAGTCAAAGTAAAATTGTCCTTTTCTAGACCGTCAAGGCCTATGTCACCCATTCCATCATTCGACGAAGATGAACTATCCATAAACAGTTTCGACAACAATATTTCATCCACGAATCACATACAACATAACAATATTTCAACAAAGGAACACATTAATGGTAATTCAGACAGAGATAGTGTTTGCATAAACGATAATAAGGCCGTGGAGACGATGGAGGGTAAATGCATGGACGAATTGAAGGATATAATAGTGCAAAAAAACAATAATGAGAACGAGAATTTGACTATGAAACCAATAGAAGTGGACTCGGCGCAGGAATGCACGGAATCTTATTCCGAAGTGTACTCTGCGAAGACGAACGATAACAATGTGCACAGGGCGCAAAGTATAAATGCAATAACGTTGAATACGACTGGGGACACGTTGCCGAGGGATACGAGCAATGATGCTCTTTCTGATGCTCGGCTAACAAATAATATAACGCAGATTGCACACGTTAATCCGGAATTGTGCGGCCTGCCTTTGAACCTATTTACAAAGGTATCGATCGATTAATAATTACATGAATTGATAGGTAGGCCATCTTGTTCAAATCTTGTATATGTCATATATATAACTTTATTCAAGGGTTACCTGTGTCTACCGTACCTGTCTCTACCGTATTTAGATCTGCTGGCAGATATCAATGTTAGGGGTTACATAGTGGGGGCAACAAACATTTTGTTTAAACAAAAAAAGCAGCTTATTGATGTACTTGTAGAGGTAAGCCAAAATCAAAATTTATTTGTTGAAATGCTCATACAACTATACTACTATAACTAATATACTAATTAGAACTACTCACATTAGTTGGAATAACAATATCCTTTGATTATATAGATTTAACGCGGTTTTTACTTAAACAATTGAAGGTGGAGAATACACGGATAGAGACGAGCGACCCGGAACTTCGGAGACAGTTACACTTAACGACAGAAGATCTAAGATTCGCGGACTACGTAGTGAGACACGTTGCTGAACCACGAAAAGACATATTTTTAGACGGAGTAGGCTGGGAAGGTGGCGATGAATGGATAAGAACCCAATTTCGAGTTTACTTGCTGAGCATGCTGAGGACGTCGATGCAACAAGATACCCGACAATCCGATCATTATAATTCTGCTTTTATTACCGCGTGGCGTTCTACGAACAATTACAAAATGTGGTGCAGTTGCGAGAAACCGGAAATGAATAATATAGAACCTGGACATCCATTCGCGGGACAATTATCGGTTCAAGATATGAAACTACGATTATCACAGTAATTATATTCTTAGACATACTGCCTAGCATCATATCGTTACGATACAATACAACGATGTGAAGTAAAATTAATTTATTTGTTTTCTAGTACAATGCAGAACACGGAAAGCGGTAGGAAATTGAATCAGGCAATGGCATCAACCGGAAGAGCAGTCGCAACAACCGGGAAGGCAGTCGGTAAGTCTACTATACAATAATTCAAATTTACATTGATCTATAACACGTTTCATTTTCCAAACTACAACGTGACGTACTTTTTGTATGAACTTGTTAGAAAAGACTGCAATAACCATGTATTTAATTTACATCGTGTTTAAGAGAGTTTAAATTCACCTTCATTTTCAAATTATTAATTCATAGTAATGAATGACAATTATTAAAATTTTCAATGTTTCAAACTAATGTTTCAAGCTTGTATCTTCTTATCAATTTCTTACGGCGAAAATTTAATTTTCTACTTTATGCTCAGAAATCTTTTGATTTTCAGTATATTGAAAACTGATTGATAAACCTAATAAAGAAATAGCTTTGTCAAGTTAGCTATTTACTTTAATCAGGTGGTGCATTATCGCAAGCCAAGGGAGCCTTTTCTAACTGGTGGACCACTTTAACCGCAGTTCAACCCGTTGAGGAAGGAAAAACTGCCGACAATCAAACTTCGACTGTGCACGAAATTACGAACTTGACTAATAAAAATGTTATCGACGATGAACAAGTTAGTAGTACGGATGTAGGAGTGATTGCAAATTAATTTTAAGGGATTCGATCATATTTTTGAGAGAGTTTATTTGACAAGAGTGTCAAATCTTTTGAAAGCCTCAATTCTAGTTCAGAAGTAGGGGACATTAAGTAGTTCAGTAGCAAGTAAAATTCATATACATATACCGAGTGTTTAGTTATATATATATAT